ATATATATATATATATATATATATATATATATATATATATATATATATATATATATATATATACACATGTATATACATGTACATGTGCATTTAATAGCCATAGATAAATATAATATTACATTGATATGCATTGTATTAATATTGTAGTATATCTGTAACATGGAGAGAAACCCTGCAAATTCGTAGAAAATTAACAGAGCGTCACCACATATCACAGAATGAAAATAAATTAAATAAACATGAAGGATGATAAATTAAATAAACATAAAGGATGATTTTGGCGAATATGAAAGAGAGTTCTCGCAATTTACTAGACCGGGACTCGCACCCGGAACTGTCACTTGCCGAATTATCGATCTAGATCATCGATCTACACACTGATCTGTCCAGGCCTTCGAGTAAATACTGTTTCATTTAGTTATATATCTTAGATTGCGCTGATTACGCCTCTATCCACATCTCGAGTAACAATAACAAGATCACGTCTATAAAATATGTAACAATCAGAACACAGAGAGAGTCTAACATTTTATCGTCGAAACACGATATTTTTCATTATCTCTCTCACAAAAATTTCAAACACCGATTTAACAAATAATATTTATTAATGAATCAGATTGTGGTACGTTGCTTAGCTCTTTTCTAAATCAATTTTAGTGCCGACGTTATTTTATTAAAAGTAGTACTTTCGGACATTTTACAAAAAATTTGACTAGCTAACGTCATGTCTGCATCTTTTGCGCGTATAAAAAAAATGGACCTAACAATTATTTCTTTGGGCGACCGCTTTAAATATCACAATTAAGCTACCCAACCAATTTTTGAAAGCTCTCTGATGTTACATATTAATACAATACGGCTACCATCAGATCTCCCAAGGCAGATCTGAGGAAATAAACACGTATTGCATATTGATTACTACAAATTATTGAGCATAATTGCAGGTACTTTTGAACTGTTCCAGGTGTTCACTACTGTTTATGTTATATATGTTAGTTATATATGTCGGCTATTGACAAAGCATTGTATATACAGCAAAGCAATATAAATTTTAGTTAAGTACTATTGCCGTATGGATGACATGCAGAGAAACTTAACTTATTTACGACTTATTAAGTCGTAGAAACTTAACAGGGCATCACAACATGTCACAAGATGGAAATAAATTAAATGAAAATGAAGACGCTTTAGACTAGAAAGAGAATTTTCGCAATTTACTAGACCGGGACTCGAATCCGGAACTGTCGCTTGCCGGATTGTCGATCTAGATCATCGATTTACATATTGATTTATCCAGGCCCTCGAGTAAACTGTTTCGTTTAGAAATTTATCTTACATCGCGCGCTGTTTACGCCTCTCTCCACAGCTCGGATAACAATGGCAAGATCACGTCTGTAAAACATGTAACAATCAGAACACAGAAGGAGTTTAGCGTTCTATTGTATATCGTCAAAACACGATATTCCTCCTTATCTCTCTCGCGAAAATTTCAAACGCAGATTTAACAAATATTATTTAATGAATTAGATTATGATACGTTGCTTAGCTCCTTCCTAAATCAATTTGGTAACGACATCATTTTATAAAAGAAAAATATATTTACGAACGTTTTATAAAAGATTTGAGTCGCTGACGTCATGTCTGCATCTTTCGTGGGATAGGAAAAAAAAATGGACCTGGACAATTACTTCTTCAGGCGACCGCTTTAGATGTCACAATTAAGCTACCCAGCCAATTTTTGAAAGCTCTCTAATGTTATCTACTGATGCAATACGGCTACCATCAGATCTTCGAAGGCAGATCCGAGGCAATTCAACGTATTGCATATTAATTAATACTTATTAAATGCAGCGCGGTACTTTTCCCATTATTATTAAGTATTTATGTTATATATGTTAGTTATATATGTCAGCTGTTAGTAAAGCATTGTATATACAGCAAAGCAATATAAATGTTAATTAAATACTATTGTCACATGGATGACATGTAGAGAAACCCTATTAAGTCGTAGAAACTTAACAGGGCATCACAACATGTTACAAGATGGAAATAAATTAAATGAAAATGCAGATGCTTTGGACTAGAAGGAGAGCTTTCGCAATTTACTAGACCGGGACTCGAACCCGGAACTGTCGCTTGCCGGATTGTCGATATAGATCATCGATTTACACATTGATCTACCTAGGCCCTCGAGTAAATACTGTTTCGTTTAGAAGTTTATCTTACACTGTGCTGTTTACGCCTTTCTCCATAGCTCGGATAACAATGGCAATCACGTCTGTAAAACATGTAACAATCAGAACACAGAAGGAGTTTCTATCGTATATCGTCAAAACACGATATTCCTCCTTATCTCTCTCGCAAAAATTTCAAACGCAGATTTAACAAATAATATTTAATGAATCAGATTATGATACGCTGCTTAGCTCCTTCCTAAATCAATTTGGTAACGACGTCATTTTATTATTAGAAAAATATATTTACGAACGTTTTACAAAAGATTTGAGTCGCTGACGTCATGTCTGCATCTTTTATGGGATAGAAAAAAAAATGGACCTGGACAATTACTTCTTCGGGCGACCGCTTTAGATGTCACAATTAAGCTATCCAGCCAATTTTTGAAAGCTCTCTAATCTTAACTACTGATGCAATACGGCTACCATCAGATCTACGAAGGCAGATCTGAGGCAATTCAACGTATTACATATCTTTAAGTACAGCGAGGAACTTTTAACCGTTATTATTAAATGTTTATGTTATATATATTAGTTATATATATGAACTGTTAATAAAGCATACAGTAAAGTAATATAAGCAAAGCAATGTATACAGCAAAGCAATATAAATGTTAATGAAATACGATTGTCACATGGATGACATGTAGAGAAACCCTATTAAGTCGTAGAAACTTAACAGGGCATCACAACATGTCACAAGATGGAAATAAATTAAATGAAAATGGAAAATGCTTTGGACGGATTAGAAAGAGAGCTCTCGCAATTTACTAGACCGGGACTCGAACCCGGAACTGTCGCTTGCCGGATTGTCGATCTAGATCATCGACTTACACACCGATCTATCTAAGCCCTCGAATAAACACTGTTTCGTTTAGGTATTTATTTTACTCTGCACTGTTTACGCCTCTCTCCATAGCTCGGATAACAATGGCAAAATCACGTCTGTAAAACACGTCTGTAAAACAATCGAAACAAAGAAAGAGTCTAGCGTTTCATTGTGTATCGTCGAAACACGATATACAATTGCTTCTTATCTTCCTCGCGAAAATTTTAAACACAGATTTAACAAATAATATTCTTTAATGAATCAGATTGTGGTACGTTGCTTAGCTCCTTCCTAAATCAATTTGGTAACGACATCATTTTATTAAAGAAAAATACTTACGAACATTTTACAAAAGATTTTACTCGCATTTGATGTCATGTCTGCATCTTTTGTGAGATATGAAAAAAAAATAAACCTGGACAACTACTTCTTCGGGCGACTGCTTTAGATGTCACAATTAAACTAACCAGTTAATTTTTGAAAGCTTTCTAATATTACCTATTACTGCAGTACGGCTACCATCAGATCTACCAAGGCAGATCCGAGGATATAAGCACGAATTGTATATTTATCCTTAAACATAATTTGAACACAATTGGTGATGTTTTGGTTTCTTACTACAGTATTTTAACTACATACATTAATTATTAGTTACTAATAATTAGTTATTAATTATTAATTGTTAATAATTATTAGTAGTATATGAAGCATTATATATACAGCAAAGGAATATACATATAAATATAAATATATATTTTAAGTAAATACGTGACATATGAATGACATGCAGAGAAACCTTGTGAAATTGTTGAATATTAACAGGACATCACCACATGTCACAAGATGGAAATGAATTAAATGAAAATAAAGGATGATTATGACAGATTTGAAAGAGAGTTCTCTCAATTTACTAGACCGGGATTCGAACCCGAAACTGTCGCTTACCGGATTATCGAACTAATTAATCGATCTATACACTGATCTATCCAGACCTTCGAATAAACTCTCTTTCGTTTGTGTATTTATCTTACACTGTGCTGCTTAAGCTTCTGTTCACAATTTAAAACATAGATAAACGAAAAAGATTCTAACATTCTGTTATATTTCGTCGGAATTCGTGACTCTCTTTCTCGTCTCTCTTTCTCTCTCTCTCTGAGATTTCACACACACCGACTTAACAAACAATATCTTTTTATGCATCAGCTTGGAATATTTCTAAGTCTTTTGCGCATGTGGTAGAGTCACACACACACACACACACACACACACACACACACACACACACACACATATTAAGGTTTTATTATTTTTATTAAAAAAAAATCTACACACAAAAAGCGCTAACTACTGAGGATACTTTTGTACTTTTCTGGGCAATATAAGAAATTTGGATGGGAATAAATATTTCTTCGAGAAACTACTTTATATGACCATATATACCATTAAGATGTCTAATAAAATGTGCCTAGTAAAGGCTAATAATATTACTAATTAAGGCGCATGGTGCTATTAATGATTTATCATGCTGTTGTTCTACATCATCGAGCAATCTAGGCTCACAAATTGACACACATACTCTCTCTCTCTTTCTTCTACATATATGTAAAAGACAATGTGTTGTTTTCGCCTATTCTCATTACTTAAATAAATATAATAAGACAACATTTGCGAAACACACGACAATTGGAAAGAGTGAAAACTCTAGGTTGCTATCGTATTTCGCTTTTTTAATTCTTTGCCTTTTCTTCCCTTTTTCTTTTCTTTCCTTTTCTTTTTTCCTTCTTTTTTTGGTAGTGACGCGATTACTCTTTTCTTTAAAGGATTTTGAATATCAATGTAATGAATAATGTTCCTCGATACATCGGCTTGATAAGTTGTACGATTCGCTTGTAAGACTTCCGTGATGACTTCGCGCAACAACACTTTTATTGAAGAGAATTTCTCTCCGAAATTTGGCAAGGATTTTGCCCGTTAATGCTACTTGCGTGCTTTGCTGAATGACTTAAAAAAAAAATGTCGGGCGAGAGCGACTCTGTTTCCGTGCAACCGCTTTGAACCACTAAGCTACCCAGTGAAATGTTCCGATGCTCATTTGAAATGTTAAAGCAGAAAATAGGCTGTCCTTCAGTGAAAGTCAACGAGTAATGAGAAGTGAGCAGATTCGTTTGTGTATTGGAGCATTCGTTTGTGTATTGGATAGTATATATTACTTAGTGTATATTACCTTAACATAATATATATAATTATTATTAATATAATAATGATAATAATGATAATATGGTAACATGTGTAATATAATAATATTTGTAATATGGTAATATATGATGCATATAATGATAAGATATGATATATAATATACATATAAGATAATAATATGTGAAAATACGATACGCGACGATATTTTTATTTTCATTTACATACTTAAATATAGAAATAAACTATTGTAATGTTAAAGTTCATTTTGGTATTTTATTTTTGTTTTATTATTTTTTATTTAAGAAATTTTTTTTACTTTTTCTAATTTTTAATTTTTTTTTATTTTTCTTATTTTTTATTTTTTTATTTTTTTTTATTTTATTGTTTTATAGAATTTTTTTGGATTTTCTTTAGATCGGCCTTGTTATCAGCTTATATACTTATATTCTTGCGGCCGTAAATAGAATCTAGCTATCCAACTTTTTTTTTCTTATTGGTAAGTTTATGATTCTATATAATGTCTGGTTTTGTGTCCGCAATATTAGAAAAGCGTCGAAACATTTTACGAGGCCGGGAATCGAACCCGGGACTGTCGCATGCCGGATTATCGCTCTAGATCACCGATCTATCCAAGCCCCTCGAATAGACACGCTTCTACCTGCGTATTTATATAACAGTGTGCCGTTTATGCTTCTTTTCATAACTGTGTAAGATAAATATATATACATAAAGACCATATCTGTGAAACGCGCGACAGTTGGAAAGATGGGAGACTTCGACGTAGCCTTTTATTTCGCCGTAACTTGTGACAAATCGTTCTTCCTGTTGAAAATCTCATGTATCGATGTAACGAATAATACTGTTTAATGTATCGGTCTTGCTTTGCAAGTTGTGTTACAGTTTGCTCGTGAGTATTCCGAGACAACTTCGCGTAGTTTTTATTAAAGAGAGATTCTAAAAATTTGCCACTGTTTTCGTTAGCTGATGCTACTTCTATGCTTCTCTCAGCAATGCAAAAATATCGAATGAGGATAAAACTCCGGGTGGCTGCTTAATGACACCCATTAAAGCTACCCAGTAAAATACTTCAATATTGCTCGCATTCGAGTTACTAATTCCTAAAAACGCGTGTCTTAAGCCTGTATCAGACTATCGACTGAACAGACCAACCCTTAGGACCAATCACAGTGTGATCGTTTCACTGTAAACTACACTATGCCATCGTAAGTCGGCAGTTAGATCGATCTGTCTAGTTGGTAGTCTGATACGGGCTTCAGTATCATAGACATAATTCGTGCTAAGTGGAGAGAGCGATTCATTAGCACGATTGTTTTAAACTACGATTTTTCTACTGTATTATTTTATCAAATTTATAAATAAAACTACCTATTAATAAATACTAATGAATAGTATATGTGTTTATTTATATGCCATATATATCGATGGAGAAGCATCAAAATTCACGAGGCCGGGAATCGAACCGGGGACTGCCGCTTGCCAATGATCGCTTAAAATCATCGAGTTAATCAAGTCCTCGAACAAAAGTTTGTCTATTTACCAACTTGTCTAATAATAGACAATGTCCTCTCCAACAGAGAGCGGTACTTTCAAAAATGTCACAATATATTTGGTTGCGTATATGTGTGTGTACGTCTGTTATGTGTGGGGACACTTTCGTAAGACGCGAGAAACGAAAGTAACACATCATTGTTATCACAAACAAAGTGATTTGTAACATCTATTCTTTGTAGTTGAACTAGCTACACTAATTTGCGTTAGTTTTCTTTCTCTGTTTTTTAAACCAAATCATAGTTATATAGCTGTTTTTTTTTAAATTCCGAAAGTGTGCATTAAGTGCACTTCAGTTCCAAAGAACAGACTTATTGACAGTGTTATTAGCAAGACGCGTTATTTCCTATCCCTACTTAAAATCAACACGAAACGATTAAACTTATCATTGTTATAAACTTAATGACTTCAACGCTATCGTTAATGATTCTGCACAATGCCAATGAGCTGGTAGGAACATTTTACTAAGGGGATCCGAGACTAAATCGAGACTCGTCGATTGTCGGATTGTTGCCCCGAATTGCTGTATTAGCCTGCAGCCTCGAGCAAACACTCCTTCGTTCCAGTACTTATTCAATAACGGTCGTTATTTACGCTTGTTTTCATAGCTCAAGTAAATATGGCATGACCGTGCTCTTGTGAGATACACGAGGATTCGCAAGAAGGGAGACTTTAGCAGTCGAGTACGCGAAAAGCCAGCTCGATGTGACAAACGCCAGCACGAACATTAACCACGCGATTGGGAGATACGCATTAACACACATGCCACGTGCTGTTTATATCGCGTGTATGATCTTCTCGTGCACAATTCTTCGTGCATTTTCCCGCGGAGAGCTCCCAAACGCTCTCGAATAATCGTTTCTCTATCCGCGTACGTCTCTCTCATTCTTTTAGAGCGTGCACCTGCCAGTCCGATCTCTTGCCGTGCGCAAATTTCTTTGCATTCAACGAGCGTTGTTACAAGAGCATTCTCTGTTTCCTTCTCGAGAAATCGATCGCGACGACAAACCCGCCGTGTTAGATGGCATACTTCGATAGCGAATTCTCAGAGTCTCCATGAGAGGGTGACAAGAGGAGAGAGAGAGAGAGAGAGAGAGGGGGGGAGGGAGGGAGAGAGGTACTATCGATGCATATAAGTTCGATCCGGCAGGCGACGAATTGAAATCTTGATTTATGGTGGACTATATACGTCCCCGAAGTATCTTCGTTCGAGCCACG